CAGCGATTATAGCCAACAATGGCGGCTACTTAACTACTGATTTTCTTACTAACCACACGTCCCAAAAGGCTGTAATTTTAATCGTTTGATCTTCATGCAACATGTTATCTGCCAAATAAATTTCGCTGTGATATCCCTGGTCCTTCTGGGTGTTGCATTTTGTGTGGCTAGCAGTGTATATTTAGGCATATTAATAATTTTGCAGAAGCGCAATGCCATGGCCATTAAATCTATTGTATTGCCACTAAAAACCTTTCTCTTTTAATCAAATTATAACAATCTAAATTTATTAAACCATATTATAAACGTCATCGAATATAAACTTTTTATTTGATTGATTCTTAGCGTTGCTAGTCAAAACAATACTAGTGGTATTGTCTATGGACCTCGTAACTGAACACCGGTGATGGAAAGACTTAAACATGCATCGCATTCTTTAAAGTTCTCTCCAAGGTGAAGTTTTTGTGATTTACTGATTTAATGAGCTTGATGGACCTGTAACAGCACCCACAAGGAGTCGAGTTCATGATTAACCAGAAATTAATCCGTGACCTATCGGTTCAGTAACCTCAACAGCTTTCTCTCTCTCTCTCTCTAAGGCTGGTAGGAAAATAAAAATAAATTACAGTTTAAAAAAACTAAAAAACACCCTTTTATAGTTAATCAAACCAAGTTGTAACTTAATCTTTTAGTCACCAAATCTGAAAATGGGATCTGGAATGAGTCGTCAGATGCGGGATGGGATCCGAAAAGGGGAAATAGTTAAACTTGATGATCCTGATCAGGACAATGGAACAAAATTATTAAACTATTGTATTGTCAACGGTCCGGGACAAGTCAGCAAAATATCGAATTAATCCGACCTTTTACAGTGGGTAAAAATTGAGTTAAAAGATTCCGTTACATACATGTGAAGCTTATAAAAGGGTGTTAAAAATGGTTGTGCAGTCTTTTAATATGGAAACCATTATTAAAGATCTTGTATGTATATATAAGATGCAAAGTTTTATTTGTTTTTTATGTACATTTCAAAATGGGAGTGTAGATATGTTTTCCGAAGTGACCCACAAGGTCAATTGAATTGACCACTCCTTATCTAAACAATTATGTCTATATTTATCGTACAGAGTTATAATACTGATTTTCCGTTAAATTCTTGACTTAATATAATCAAACAATAGTTATTCAAATATAAACTAGCTTTATCCATCTGGAAATACTTGACTAATATAATTATCCTTATTAAACATTTTAACCATATGTCAATTCCCAGATGAACTTAACACATGGGAAATTCATCAGCTAGAACCAACACTATGAAATTAAGTCTCAACTCAAATGATAACTACTACTACTTACAAACTACTCTCTCTCACAAAGCCACATACGGGAACCGTATGAAATTCATATACACATCTCCACTATCTTTCCCAGCATTTCTGCATACAGTGGCATACAAATCCTTATACCATTATTCTCCCCACGGCTGTAGACACTTAATTCCATGCATTAGACCGGTTCTGGAGCTCTTAGGCGCGTCATTTACTGCGTATCCTCCTTCAGCTAATCCAACAGTTTAATGATAGCCCTTCCGCGAATAGCTGTTGCGCAGAGGGCTTCTATCTTGTATGGGGCTACTACTATCACTCTAACGTCGGACGTGTCAGCGCCCCTGCAATCTACATGTCGGGGAAGAGAACAACGTAAAAGCCCCATTCCATCACCGTTATGGGTGTGTATTTTTTGTCCGTTGGCAATGATGGGCTTTGAGGGATTCCTCCTGTAGTTATTTCTAAGTTGGAGCACTAAGTGTGACCTAATCGAGTATTTGATAGAGATATAGTGCCTTGTATTTTATACCATAGGAACGATTCAGATGAATTATTAAAAGAATCAGTGTTTTACTGGTTAGTAAAATATATTCTGGATTATCACTACTAATTTTTATTGCATTTAATTTTTTTTTGTAAATGATTATTTATAATTTCTTTAAGCTGGTATGCATCAAAAGAAGCAGAACATTGTAAAATATAGTGAAAATCGCTTAAGACGAAACTGAGGGAAAATAAAACATTTTTTCGTGTTTAAGTATATTACAAAAAAAACCAATAACATATATTCAATAAATTTAAGTTTATCAGAGTACATTTTATTTACATTGACATGTGTATATGGATGTTTCAGTAAAAAATGTTCAAACTTTTACATAATTTGCTCTCTTTTTTTAATTATTGTTGATAGAGTTAGCAAAACCAAAATCTTTAAAAAATTCTGTTTTCGTCTTCTGTTTTTGATCAAACTCCATTTTCATTTTAAGAAAAATAGCAAATTGCTTTCCATCTGAGCTTTATATCATTGTGTTTGAAAAAAAAATTCTTCTAAAATAGAAAAAATAATGCGAACCAAACTCATTGATTTATCACACTGCACTCACTGAATTTCGAAGTCAACTGTGGAGAGATGAGATGTTTTTGTGTGGCGCTTGTAGGGATGGAGGATGAAAGTAGCTTACATAAACAAAATAGGCTCGTGTCACAAGCTATTCCGTGGGTATTTCAAAGCCAACTTATCCTCCTCTCTACGAAACATGAGATGCGACCTATCTTTCATTTCACACCCCACCCTAAATCTAATCTGCGTGACGTGTTTTCCGTACTTTGTTCATTCCCAGAAGGGAATTTTTAGATCGGAGTGAACTAGAAATGGTCAGAAATGCCTATTCATCAGAGCCGAAACGAGCTCAATTTGAATTAGATCTGGGGATCACTGTGCATTCGTATAATTCCTTGACTAACTCCTTCCAATGCCAATTTCGTCCCGTTCAGATAACTCATTCTCGGTGCTGCATGTGTATTAAATTAGGTTAGGGAAAAAGATATCCATTATTTCTTCTTATTTGATTCCTAATTGACAAATCGTCAACTTTAATATTACAATAATTAGCTACGAAGTATCCTCGCCTCACTTCACGTTTAATCACTCACTGCTAGCCCGTAGCAGTCTAACACAGCTTTTCCTCAAAAACTCGAATGTTTAATCTTTATATACAACTCATAAGTTATATACTCACATCTTCAAAGGAAGAGGCTTTCAGTTGATTAAGTTTTAAAGACCCATTTTCCCCCAAGAGGACTGTTAGTGAGAAGAATCCGAATAGACATGTGACAAAGTTACTGCTGCGTATTAATTAATATAATTTTATTCATTTTAATTTCAATTTCGGATATTTATGACATTTTTTCTGCATTAAAAATGTTTAAGTCACTCTCTGAAAGTTTATGCAGGAGGATAAAACAAATATATTTTACTAAAAAATTCTGATTATTTTAATCAGTGGCTTACACAGACTACTTTCACAAGATGAGTTATATTTTCAAAAAAAAAAAAAAATAACGTACACAAAAGTACAGAGACTCCCAAAACGCTTTGGACCCCCAAACTTCAACCTTGTGCAGGCCAATGACTTTACAATTAAATAAACAATCAGCATATTAATTGTGATATAAATTACTAAAAGTACCATCCTTGAAATATTTTTACAAGTCCCATCGATAGTAGCGCACACACGAATTTGTCAAGGGGGTCCACTATTCTTATATCATGGTCCAATATGCCACTCAACATGTTCTTTTAGTTTTGTCGATTTTCGGGAATAAAAAACAGTAAAAAATTAAATATTAAATGGATAACTAGCATTAATTATTAAAATTAATTATTAATAACAAATGCTTAATTAAACTATGCGTACTATATAAATAGGATTACAATCAATTGAAAAAAATCAAGGGCCTGGGGGGGTTCAGACCCGAGCCTCTTCCCCCCTTTGTGTGCGCTGCTGTCCATCAATATATTTTTTCAACTCTACTTATTATTTCTTTAACAGGCTATACTCAACTTATATAAAGATTTTTTAATTGCAATATGAAATCGCTTTAAAATTTAAGTTTGAATGTGTTTAGAGTTGTCAATATATATTTGAGAACTGCTCGCTATTTAGAATAAGAAGAAAAGTATTATGTAAAAAAATATGAATTGAAAATAGAAAATTAATTTGTAAATAATTATCAGAAGAAAAATAAACCAATATATTTTTCCATTAAAAATTTTTTTTTCTTCTTACAGATATGCAAAATAATTCAACAATGAATTATTTATGCATTTTCATGTTTTATGTTACTGCGAAAAAGAAATCTTTTATTAATTGACAAATTACCGTATAGAAAATGTATAAACACTCGAAATGGGGAATTCTCTTCATACTTCGCATTGATAGAACAACCTGTACAAACATGTTTGATCTGTGTTCGGAAGTTGGTTGAAGAAAACGCTGGTAAAGCGTAATTTCTAACATACGTCATTAAATGAGCATTAAACGGGAGAGGCAGAAATACGGCGACACTGCCGTAGGGGGTTGTAGAAGCTAAAGAAACTAAAAAACACACGTTGTAAGCTACGGCTCCATGTTTGGTCATAGCTTTATTTTCAAAATGACAAAAAGCTTATATTTTCTAAACTTTTAAAATAGTAATTCATTATATATTTTGTGCTTCCTTATGTCTCTGGACAAATGTTAAAATTACTTAATTTGAATTAATCTTTTTCTGGAAAATTATATACAGACTGTAATAACTAGTAATAAAGGTTTCTCATTTCTAAAAATATTAATTCCTGGAGATTAAGATATAGGATGCAAAATAACAACTAAAAATAGGTAATGTAAAAAAAAAATTAAGATAATTCCTACTTAGGTCAACAAAGAAAAATTTTATTTTAGTTATTTTTATTTAATAGTCACGATTAATATAAATATGTATATACATATGACGGAATCACAATATTAAGTGACAAAATAGAAAGCGACTTTCCTTCTTATTTTCCATTTTCCAGTCTATATATGGTGTTGTAGAATTATTTTTGTTTGTTACTATTTATATTAAAAAAAATTAATTATCCCAATAAAATAGTATAGTAAAAAGAAATCACATTCTCAGAAATTAGGCCATCCCATGTGGGATTCGAACCCACGGCTTTTGGATTAGAAGTCCAACGTGATACCCATTGCACTACAGGGACACAAAGAGCGATATTCCTTTTTATATATGATGTTGAACTGTTATTTTTGTTTGTTATTAATTATTCATTAATTAATATTTGAAAAAACTGTATTAACTTTAAGTGTCATCCAATACAAGTTTAAAAAATGTATTTGAACTTGAGTGGATGAAAAAAAGTATTTTACTAACGACTGAGAATTTGAACAAGATATATATCTATATATATATAGGAAGAGAGTGAACTAATAGTAGGAATTGAATAAATGTTTATTTCTGAGCAATATTATTCTGACATTCGTATGAATTAGTCATAGACTTGTTTAAATTATATCAATTAAGAAATAATAAAGAATAATATTAAGGCTAATTGGGACATAATAATAAAATTAAGACAATATTGTGGCATACACATCAATAAATTCCCCCCCCCCCTGAAAATCATGGAAAATTTAAAATGTTAGGTTAAATTACTAATAATATCTAAGTCAATATGATTAAAAGAAAATTCTTTAAGTTTTTATTAAATTTATATTATATATTTATTTTTCTGTTTCATTTATCAATCATAATTCAATTGATAAACATAATAAAATATAATTTTTACATATACAAATACTGAATTCTGGAAAAATTTTGTAAAAATTATATAATTGTAAAATATATATATATTAACAGCATTTTGTTAAAATAATATTACATATAGTTGAAATGCTTTAATTGCTTTTTCTATATTACCGTACTGAAGAATTATGCAACTGTATTACCTAAAATCCGTCTTTGCAGTTAATGAACCGAATTATATTTATGATGCACTGATCGTCTAGTACTATATTGAAAAGACATTAATTATAATTCTCAGATTTTTGATCAAATGTTTGATTATAATGTGATTATATAACAATTTAAAATACGTTTTTCAATATAAATGAATGGGATTATATGTCGAAATATGGATAAATAGTTCTCAGTGATATTCTTACAATTAGTCATAGTTTAATATAAGTAATTATATTAACAGTGAGGAGGTTTTTACTCGAGAAGAAACATACTGAATTAGGAGGTGAATATATTATCTTCGCATTCAATAAGATAATTGATAATGCGATAAGAAAATTGTATTATGGATAAATTTAATTGCAATACAGTAACTAAAGATTTACCGTGCAGATGAACTGATGAACGTTAAATCAGCCAAAGCTCAAAATCCTTCATTTGAGTGCGGTGTGGAATTTTGAATTTGATGTGGTAGCATCTCAATGTCATCCTCGTCGCTTGACCGTGGTTCAAAATTAAGATCCATTGCCAAGAGTCTTCATAAAGGTACATGGTGCTTCATAAATAATCAATCATTTAAGTTTTTAATGGATTTAATTGATGCATTTGTATACGCAGTGAAGAGATCACTGAATCCAAAAACAAATTAGATTTTTATTAGGTCCCATCACAGCAGTATTAAGGTATCCGAATACCCTAAATTGTGAATTTTACCAAAAATTGACAATTTTTTCTGGTTTTATTTTGTAGGCCATCTAATACGCTTTATAAAAATACCAATATTATCATTTTTATTCCCTAGAACAAAAACAACAAGCGTTTAATAATAGCAGATGCCATTACAAGCAAGATATGTCATACTTTTAAAAAGCGTTTTGCTCGAAATGTGTTTTTTTTTTGAAAATGCTCAAACACAGCTATTGCTCAGAAAGTTTTGAAAATAATCAAATGAAATTTTTTGTGTATGTTTTGTATAATAGTAATAGAAGTGTTTTAACCTTCAAATTTATCAATCAATGTTTTATTACAAAATTTACAGTCTCTTATGGGAATAAAAAGAATATTTTTTATGCAATTTCATATAATAACTAAGATAAAGTGCTCTAGTTTATGTAAAAATTAAAATCTCTTATCCTGAAGGTCATTTCAAAAATGAATAACATAGCAATATATCATAATTGAAAAATTAAAAGTTTGTTCATAAACTTTTTGTACAGAACAGGCCCCATTTATGTAATTTTTTAGGCTGTTTTTCACGTAGTGGAACAAAAGCGCTATTAGGGAGCAAATTTTGTCTTCGTATTCGTTCCATATTTTGCTGTACCTTTTTCTCAGCCAATAAGAAACCAATAGGCCTCGGGTTTTCAGCATTTGGTTGCATTTGTGCCCTAGATGAGCCGAATCATATTTAAATTTTCCCATAGTTTTCACGAATTTTCCTACAAATTTTGCTGAATTTCACTAGATTATAACAAAATTTTCTCAAATTTTTGCTTTTTTATAGTGCTGATACAGATTTGTGTCATTATTTCTTTTCAGCTCAATAGTAGTACATTTAGAGGAGCGGTAGTGTACTACTTTCTGTTAGTAAAAAGTTAATTTGTTGCATTATTGTAAAATACCCCATGTGAAAAACGCGCTAGAATTACTTGGCCATGCCAATGATTAATATCTTGTTGTAAATTTCTACCAATTTCTTCCTATTTTAGTAATAATAATTCCTTTTTAATTTTAGCATATTTTTTTAAAACATGCACTAAATAAATCTAAGAAACACAACAAAATTTCCATATCTCCATTTTTTTTTAAAAAAAAGTAGTTGCAAGTAGTTGGATACCATAATGTAACCATAAGCATATACGGCAGGTCATATAATACAAATATTATTCTGCAAATATTATCGCATTTTGAAATAAAGTATCTTACTATATCTATACCATTCTATATCAAAGTTAGATTTTAGGTATTATAAATATATATAATTGGCTTTTGAATTTCTAATTATACATTTAGCAAATTTGGTCAAACATGGCTGCTGTCCTCAAACAGCCCCTCTTTGAAATTTCAGCACTTAAAGACAGAGAAGGGGATGAAAGGGGGTTGTGGGGAGAAAGAGAAGAGAAGAGAGACTTCTCGACGAATATTAAATTTCTTTCGTTAATCCAAAACCTTTCCGTCAATCAAGCAGAAATAAATCGTTTGGTTGCCTCAGGGGGATGTACAAGTCTTAGTCTTTCTTGGTTAGAGAGACCGGTTTTAACAACTTGCGTGATTTAAAGAGTTTGAGGCAAGGGAGAAGGATTTTTAAGTGATCTCTCCATAGGAAGTCTCCAGGAGGGCTCTAGAAGTTCTTATGACTCTAAGGGAACTGTTTCAAAAATCAAAGTAAAATCCTTATTACGTTCAGGCCTACTTCTGAACTTTGTTTGCATGTTGCAAATGAATAAGAGCACGGTTGAGAATGAGTAATAAGTAATTTTGAGATATGTGTAGTTTTAATTTTGCGTCTTTAGTCGTGATTTATGTGTTTTAGAAGTTGTCGACTTGAAGTACCTAAATAGTTTCGAAGTAGGGAGGAAACGAATTGGATTTTGTTTGAAATTGGAACGAATTTTTTTTTATCAGTTGTGAATGTTATTTTTGCTATTACTTCCAATGAACGAAGAATAAATTCACAAGTTTTTAAAGTATACTTACTATATTGATGTCATTATCTCATTTTGCAAAAAAGTTTTATAAAATAGTTTTTGTTTAAAGAAAATGATAATTTGTACCATGGAACTCATGGATACTCTGTAATCTTCTAGTTGTTTTCTTTTTCTTGTTTTTGATATCGATCCTTTTAAATGTGTTCATATATTGATTCTCGGAAATTTTTGTTTAATGTATTAATTTATTTTTCTCTTTCCAATCATTATGTGTTCTTAATTATTATTAATTATTCTTACTATAATCTACATATATAATTGGATGTTTGTATATATGAAATCACTTCACTTCAACACCTTTCAAGCGATCACTATGAAAATTGGCATGTATATGTATTTTTTTGTGGAAAAGGTTTTTCGTTATCCTCTTTGTTGTAGCTCCCCACCACGGGACCGACCAACGCCAAGTATGTATTTTTTGTAAAATCCAGCTTGGGACCTTATGACGGATCTATACGCGTCTAGATAACTAACCCTTGGGGACTTTTTTGGGGCAATAATTTTACCAACCAACTTCCACCGAAGAAAGGAAACGTGATTATGCAAATTAAGTATGTTATATAAATTCTATATTCCCGTGTTTTGAGAGTTAGTTCGTGAGTGGAGGATCGTGAAACTATTAAGGGCAAATCTGAGTTTATTAATTGAAGAAGCCTAAAAAAGGATCACACGGCGGTGATTAAATCCGGATAAGGATTGCATTCAAAGCCTCAAGTGTAGGACTCAACTTCATAAAGGTACAGGTATCGTGATCCTTATTTAAAAAGAATTTAGCTTATTAGTGCGTGACGTAGTTTATATTGAGCTTGTATAAGTTATCGTGGAATCAGTTGAGGGTCCGTAATATTATCCACAGGCTAACGGGTCTCACCTTCACGCTCTGCTATCTGATCATTTATCTTAATTAGATTATTACTGTGCTTGCTTGATATTTTGGTGACAAAATAATTTGAGCGAATCATGTCTACTGATTATTCAGTTCCTCCCACACATGTAGCCGGTGCAGAGGGTAGACAAGGGGGATTAGAGGGAAGCAGGGACCGACAAGCATTACAACCTAAACCCCAACTTTGTAATATTCTTCGTAACGCCATTGAGACCTGCCGCGTAGAGAGTTTAACATGTTGATCCGTTCCATATTAATATTTTATGCGCATTAAAATGACTTCCTATTTTAAAATTGCCCCTTACGACACATAATTCTATAGTTAAGTCTTTTCTTCAGGAAGTGTGGCCGCGGTAACCTAGTGGTCAAGGTAACGATTTCGTGGCTGGCGTGACATGAGTTCGAACCCAGTACCACTGAAGACCCACCGTGTAGGGGAACAATGCACGTTAAATCTGTCGAGAGCTTAAACGTCCTCCCGTTGGTGTGGTGTGGTAGTTAGGGTAGGGGTGCCAACTCAGGTGTCGTTCTCGTCCCTTGATCATAGTTCAAAATTATGAGGTCCATTGCCAAACGCCCTCTTGTATAGCTGAACAGTACGGCGTTAATATCCACTCATTCACTCACTCTCTTCAGGAAGTGGTCCTCGTA